CACAGTTGTAACACTGTTTTCTCAGTAATTACTGGACCGATCTACAAGATTTATGTCTCAAATTAAAGGGGATAGTGTGTAGATTTGCCGAACTTCCTTAGAATTTACGTTTTTTCTAAGGGCTACGACCTACAGCCCTTTAAAGGTCGAGTCAATACAATTCTTATTGAAGAATATAATACACAGTTTATAAATTATTCGTCAGCTGTTTAATGTTTGTCAGATATTTGTTATTATTTTTATAACCTCACTTTCAGTATGCAATTATTAAACTTGGAGTTTCTGTTTATAAACACACGATTTTGATCAAGGAAAGTGTATTTGTTAACTTATTTTTGAAATGTTTTAGTTTTCCTGCAAAGTGATCTGAAGGAAAGTGGTAATTGAGTTTAAGTTGGAGTATGGAATGTGAAATAATACCCATAGTAGGGAACGGAAACTTATTGTTTTGATCAATATAATTTATTATCTGTAGCCACCAGAATAATCATGGGGAAATCCGCTTGCAAGTTTTACATATAATTGCTAATGAGTGGGAAACATACAAACATTTTATAGTAGGTGACGAATCTTACTCAAGATTAGTGTTAGACGTTCAGTGGTACCAAACTTTACCTTCTCGAGATGGCGAGTACGCTGGGATATTTGGAACTAAAATTTATCAGTGAACTATACCCTAACTATATTTGTTCGAGTAGGCCTACACAGGGAAGTTGCTTGAGAAACTGTGACTTACGATTTCGGTTCTGGCGAAGAAGTATCTGACTTGATGTTTAATGGCAATGTTGACTCGGGTCATTATAGCGTTATAAAACTATATCATTAACCCCATGATGAGAAAAGTACAAAAAGAAAAAGAAAAGGTAATCATTAAACGGGCGTAAAGAGACATACAGAACGAAAAAACATGTAGAGAACCATCGAACTAAAAAGGTGAAGAGCAGTGATGGTGTTAAATGTGTTCTGGAAGTCCCTTCTAAAAAATACCATTTTTTTTTAATTGGGGTCGTTAGATTGGATTTGTCACTAGGCCTACTTCAAATCTATGAATTTCGAGTCAGAACAGACTAACTGGGACACAAAAATGTTTTAGTTTTCCTGCAAAGTGATCTGAAGAAAAGTGATAATTGAGTTTAAGTTTAAGTATGGAATGTGAAATAATAAGCCTACCCATCGTAGGGGACGGAAACATATTGTTTTGATCAGTATAATTTATTCTCTATCTAGCCACCAGAACAATCATAGGGAAATCCGCTTGCAAGTTGTACTGTACAGATAATTGCTAATGATTGGTAAACATACACACATTTTATTGTAAGTGATTAATCTTACTCAAGATCAGTGTTCGACGTCCAAATTTTACCTTCTCGAGATGGCGAGTACGCTGGGATATTTGGAACTAAAATTTATCAGTGAACTATACCCTAACTATATTTGTTCGAGTGTAGGCCTACACAGGGAAGTTGCTTGAGAAACTGTGACTTACGATTTCGGTTCTGGCGAAGAAGTATCTGACTTGATGTTTAATGGCAATGTTGACTCGGGTCATTATAGCGTTATAAAACTATATCATTAACCCCATGATGAGAAAAGTACAAAAAGAAAAAGAAAAGGTAATCATTAAACGGGCGTAAAGAGACATACAGAACGAAAAAACATGTAGAGAACCATCGAACTAAAAAGGTGAAGAGCAGTGATGGTGTTAAATGTGTTCTGGAAGTCCCTTCTAAAAAATACCAATTTTTTTTGAATTGGGGTCGTTAGATTGGATTTGTCCGTACTGCAAATCTATGAATTTTGAGTCAGAAGAGACTAACTGGGACACAAATATTTTTCCTTATGTTATCACAAGGGGAAGGTAAAATGAACTCTTTATCAACATTTTGATTTTATGGAAAATCTTATCAACAGCGACTATAAAAAAAGTATTAAGGGTCAAAAGAGACAAAAACTATTTGAGTAAAATATAATAACAAATCTGCATTTGAAATGGCCAGTTCTAAGTCTCACTTGAATCAACATCTTTCTGGTGTGTAGTCTACATAGTTTTAAAATCCACGACTCCTTTTCCATCAAATTGGACCGTTAATACCCTCTAACATTGAACAAAGTACGCCCAACTTTTTATATACAACGTAAACACAGCTTTTACTCACAGTATGGGTCAAAGATTCGTGAAATGTGACCAACTGCTGATGCGTGATTTACATGTAGGCTAAGTGACTATCTTTATTCCATACAACAAATGTAATGAAAAAAACGACGAATATAGGAATATACTTGAGCAAATTATCTAAATATCATAAATAGCTGCTTATTAGGTTATCAGCATTACCCAGTTCGTATACTATTTATTTTTCAAATGAAACTCGAATTAATATAAAACATTCATTTGGTTAAAATAATACATCGGTTTGATGAACATAAATAGTTCATACAGTCAAACTATCAGTTCTATTTCATGTAAAAAATTAAACAACCCCTAAATAAAATACAAAGATAAACAGTATTTGTTAATAATTATTTATTTTATTGCTGACAATATTCCTGTGGCGGAGCACAGGCGGTTAACTAGTTTTGATTTATTGAATGCCTGACGTTACAGTCTAACATATTCTTTGTAGGCTGATTGTTTACATATTAATCAACATGTAAATAAACAACAAAACCCACAAAGGATTATATTATAATTATTACATTTCTTCTATTTAATGACTAAGGTATTAAGTACTAAATGTATATATAACTAAATGTTGAGGTTTATCTTAATATATTAAAGATCTTTGCCAAATTAAGACATCGAAAGTGTATTGTAGCAAACTGGATGTTTTATTATTGTTCATATTTTTACTATTTTGCAATCATACATCACAAATCGGAATCATTAGTTTCTTACTGCAATACAAAAGTTTCTGCAGTTCTGCTCCCTAGATTTTAAGCATTTCCGAATCATATCTTTAAAAAAGTAACAAGTTTCAATAACACAATTGTTTATTTTACTTAGTAATTTTAAACCAGTCCTGAATTTACTTGGAACTACTTTGGTTTCTTGTGACAATGAAAACAATTTTAAAGTGTCTAAGGACATCATAAAACATTAGGGTATTTTTGTATTATAGTAAATTACAGTTTTGAAAATTATGGTGGACTTCAGATTCAAAACTTTTTTAAAGACAGGATTTACAGTATATGGTATATGTTGATAATGAATTTGTAAAATTAAATGTTATCATTATATTGCACACAGCTCTAATCTCTAGTTAACCTGCAGATGATTTTGGAAGAAGAAATAGATTTATAGTCGAGAGTTAGTTTTGTAAGATTAATGGACGTCCGACAAAACCTACCAGGGATTGCTATTGACGTAAGTTGCTGACTTGTTGGTGATATATGTAGGACATTTTATGAAAGACAAGTTAAAGTATGGATAACACTTTTGTTTTAAATATAATCCTATTTAAATTTGAATCAAAATGTCATTGAGACATTTACCAAAATTCAAAAACAATTAAATATAACCTTTTAGATATGGATATTACTTGTAAAATAAACTTTCTTGGATAAAACATTTAATTGTGAAATATATAGCTACCATAAATTAATAAGTATAACTTAAATTTGCAATTAAGTACAATTGAAACATGTTGTTAACACTTCTATGCAATTTAATCAATATTTATGAATTTAACAGGTTTAATATTTCATCATATAATAGGTTAGTTCTGTAACTTTATATTACTTAATGGCATTGATGTTTATCAATGCATAACTCCATTCAACTCCATTTACTGTTTTCATCATTTCAAGAAACTCATGTTTTAATGAAACGAAAATGAAACCGTTACTAATAAATTGGACCCTAGGGTGTGGGTAATAACATTGTATTTCTCAAAGTAGATTTTGTCATGCTGACAAGAAATCCCCAGAGAAACTATTTTTCTCTCTTAAAAGCTGCATTCAAATTATCAATATAATTCCATGTTAATATTATTGATGCTAAGCTTACTTAATATTTATGTATAAGTGACTGAATATATTATAGATAGCCGTATTTTTTTTATTGAATTTATTATTAATTTGCTATTTGTTTTAATAAAATCATTGCATTTGCAATTTCTAAGTTTTTAACATTATTACTACTAGAAAAATAAATATATTTTTGGTACCATTAAGAAGTGTCGTTGAAAAATTTAATACCTTTTTTAAATACCTCCTAATACAAAATTGGGTAACTTTAATTTCTATGTTGTATTTTATAATGTGAAATCATAACCGTGATATTGCTTATTCGACGTTTTAAATAGATACAAATAAAAAATGATTACAACATTTTCCATAAACATAAAACAGTGTATGTGGGGGTAAACTTGCCTAAAAATGTTCAAATGGACTGTATTTTGAAAGAGCAATATTAAAAACTTGTCACTAATTATTTAACAGATATAATGAGATTGATGAGGTACCTTCCTTTTAACTGAAGTGTTGAGAAGACGAAGCCGGTAGACGTACACGAGTTTCTTCTGCTGGCCAGCTATTGCGTATTGCTCGTACACAGACCCGGACCGGCAGTAGTAGTGTTTCACTTCACAAATGTTCAATAGTTCACTTTTAATATGTGTCACTAATAATAATTAAATATACTTTGGGGTTAAGAGATGAGAGCAGCAATTGGGAGTTAATTGTGCCGGGGACATGTTAGTAGTTGCATGAATGCAAGAGAACTGGGGCGAGATTGGGGTTTCCAGACATCACGTGACAGGACAAAGGTTATTGTATGATATGAAACGTCTGGAAATATCTAGGTAGCGCTTGAATACGGAACATGCCGCCCGCCTTGAACCATACATGGTTCAAAACATTGGGAAAGTTACAAAGTGACACATAATGAATATAGATTGACATTGAAATATAAGAAACATAGATTAAATATATATACATAACATTGAAATAGAAATATGTTTGAAAATAGAACAAACATTTTGTTTGGTCTGATAATGAGATCAGGGGAGCGGGTACACCTTGGTAGCAGGACGACAGAAGGTTCCCCGCTGAGTCTTGATGGTGACAACTCGGACGATGCCGTCCGATCCAGGCGAAGTCTTCACTATGCGTCCAAGAGGCCAAAGTAGTGGTGGTGTTCTAGGGTCTTGAATTATAACGAGATCACCCACTTCTAGATTCTTGTTGGGCTTTTCCCATTTCTTTCTTTGTTGTAGCTGATGTAAATATTCTTGATGCCAACGTCGCCAGAAGCGTTGATGTAGGGCTTGTACAGTTTGCCAATGGTTGAGACGATTTTCGGGAACCTCTTCAAGATTTGGTTCCGGTACTGCCACAAGCGAAGTGCCGATAAGAAAATGACCCGGAGTAAGGGCTGAGATGTCGGATGGATCTGCGGATAATGCTGTCAAAGGTCTCGAGTTGAGTACAGCCTCCACCTGTGTGGCGAGTGTTATTATTTCCATTAGTGTTAGAACTCTATCGCCTATGACTCTTTTCAGATGATATTTAGAACTTTTCATAGCACTCTCCCATAGGCCTCCTTGGTGGGGAGCGGATGGTGGTTGAAAGTGAAAATTTATTGAGTGATCTAACGCAAAGTTGTTAAGAGCATCTTTAGTGTTTGATTCCTTGATGAAATTCTGAAAAGTTTTCATGAGTTGCTTTGAGGCTCCAACATAGTTAGTTCCGCAATCTGAGTATAAGTGGGCACACAATCCACGACGAGAAACAAAACGTTTTAGTGCAGCTATGAAGGAGTCTACAGATAGGTCTGTTACAATTTCTAGGTGCACAGCTTTCGTAGCAAAACATACAAAGAGGCAGAGGTATGATTTTAACCGTTGAGCGTTCCTAGTTGAATGAACTTTAATGTCAAAATGTCCACTATAGTCCATGCCAGTGTGATAGAATGGCCTTACAGGTTTTAATAGAGTTTCAGGAAGATCTCCCATCAGTGGAGGTTTGTTTACAGGCTTAAGTCTGAAACATCTTTGACACTTGAAAATCACAGATCTTATCACGCTGCGGGCTGATAATATCCAAACCTCTTGAGACAGAATAGACTGCAGCAATTGAGGGCCTGCGTGTAGATGCTTTAGGTGATAATGCATAATCAACAGTTTGACAGCACAGTGAGATTTAGGTAACAAAACTGGATGTTTCGCATCTTGTGTAAGGTTGGAATGTTTCAACCTGCCGCCTACTCGCACTATTCCACTGTCATCAATATATGGGGATAAACGAGCAAGTTTTAAGCTGCATTGAGATCCCTTTTTGAGAGCAGAGATGTCATCCTTAAATGATGTATTTTGTATGAGTTTGAAAATTCTTAATTTCGCAGACGAAGTTTCTTGGCAAGTAAGTCGTCCGATGCGGGAATCATTGGCTTGTAGATTATGAATGAATCGCAATATATATGCCATGATGTAACAATTGATATACTCTATTGCCTCACTAATTGTCATTTATTGAAGTTGGCCACTTCAAAAGATGAATTAACACCTTTTTGAGTTGATGAGCGCGCAATCAGCTCAAATAAAAATTAGAGATTCATTTCAAACAATTACTCCAAACCCAACCAGACAATAGCTATTGTATCAGTTCACCAGCTCAACTGATAAGGATGTTCCAAACTGATAAGAGAGTAGCCTGGAGCAGAGCGGTTCAAACCTTGAACAAGACCAGTTGTAGGCTACCTGTCTGAAGATTCTTCATGTTGTCTTCATGAAGATTGAAGAATATTCACCCTCGCACTCAATGTGGATTTTAACCATTTATTTTTAAATGGATGAGGTATGTTAATGTTATATTCTATATGATTGAATTTCAGTTACATAAATTGCAAAATTATGATATTTTATCCAGAGTTAATTACCAAATTCAAACCACATGTTCTTGTATCATGTAAAAACAATCCTGTTCAGGTCTACTCCTCAAAAATTGAATATTTTGTTGGAATATTAATTTATTAGGTTCATTAAATGTATTTTTAAACGTTTTCATGTGTTAAAAATAACTTAAAAATCTATATCAAGGTAGTCTGTGGAAAATAATACAACTATGTGGATATTTTATTTATGTATTTAAATTAATTGAAGAAATAATTATCTTTTGAAATTAGTCTACTGTTTCCTAGAATAAATAATGCTTTGAAATTATAATTAATTGTCATATAAAAAATATTAATATTACTATTTTTGTACCCTTTAAAAAAAAAAAATGTTAATTTCATTCACAAGTAAATATGCTACTTAGTTCTTAAAGAGGTAAACTAAAAAGAAACAATAATACACTGGTTTGTACTGCATTATAGTTAATTTATTTTAATTTGTAAAAGTGTTCAATTAAATGTTAGCTTTGTTCTGTTGAATGTTTTGAAGGGTAAAATATTATCAATTAATTAGTTGAAACTGAATATGTGTTATATGTGATAAATAATATTGTATTGCCACTCATGAAAGGATAACACACAAAGTATATTAAATTGTATGTAAATCTTGTGTATTACTGAGAAATTAATAGTTAACAAATGAATGAGTTAGTTAAATATTGAAAATAGTTTGAAGTTGGAAATGTTATTAAAGTAGAATTATGTAGCACACATTAGTATTTAACTAACTGATGAATTTAAATGATGTATCGCATATTGAGTATAATATTTTTAATTGGAGATTCTGTTGAACAAAAAAATAATTGGATTACAGTAGGCCTTGATGTAAATATCAGTACAGTACTTAAAACAGAATATTTGTATTCAACATATTCAATTTAATCTATTATTTGCTTGTTTTACTTCCAACACAATTAATGTTTTATTTGTATAAAGCATAGTGTAGGGTAACTTAATGATGGATTAATTAAAATAATTGTTTATTTTATGGAGAACTTGCAAAAGGATTAAATAATTATGTAACAGCATTTATGTGTATATTTCGGTAATTGCTTAAGACTATTTATTGGGTTTATTGTACAGGGTTTTTGTGAGCCCTTCACGCCATACTTGGAGGATCTACTGTGACAGCCTACAGGACTTGCCTACTGTGATTACCAGTATCTTCACACCTATCTGGACCTCATTGACCCCGTGACCTGTGTGCTATCTACTTGTGTGAGACAAATCGGTCTAGACCGGAATTCCCTTGATAGCTACCTTGTGCGGTGGACTTGGTGAGTGACACATTTACCTATTATTTATTGCCTGGACTTAACAAGGACTTATTGGAGGACAGCTCAAGACACTTGGACTATTCACGCCTGCCCGGATTAATCTTTTAGGTTAAATGGGGCCCCGGTCATTGAGTTTTCATGTATTTGTAATTTAGCTAGTAAGATTTTGGTTAGTGTTTGTGATTGTATTTATATGTCTTTGAAACTGTGCATTTTAGGTGAGCTATTGAATGCTTTGAGCTACAGAAGGGGGATTATCTGATCTAGAATTAGATTCTGTTTCTTATCCAGCCATTTGAGCACACCTCAGAGAGAAAAGATATTACATTGATTGCAACACTGTATTCACAAATCAATTGATTTATCTATTTATTTATCTGTATAATTGCTAGTGATTGTCAATTGCTCTTGATTGCCTTAATTTAAAAGGACTGGATCCTTGGTTGCATGGGAATGTAAATTATAAATTATTGTTATATTGACCTTGTGTATTATCATATTTGGTAAAATAAATTCTCTAGCATGGCCATGTACACAAGCGTTGTTGTGTTCCTGTGTACTGTCTAGTTTAAAAATTTATTGTTGTAAGTTGGTTTAATTATTGATTGGTTGATTACTTTTGACACTTAAAAGGATTTTGAACTTAGTAAACTACCCAAAAGTTCTTGGTTAGTAGTTAACTATATAGCCTGAGTTATCTAGTCATATCATCAACTGATAAGGGGTATGTGAGTTCTATGCTAAACTGGGTAACCATTTACTACTACTGATTATAAGTGAACTTGCTGATAATAGTATTATTGTTGTTGTCATTGTGGAGTAATATTTGGTTTGAATTTGGTAAGCTATTAGCCGCCCAGCTGATTGTTTCTTTTTATTATCTCATCCAAAATATCATCCCATGAGTACAGGAGAACTTCCTTGTTGGACCCTGTTTAAATTCTACTCTACAACACGGTGGCGCCCATAATAAACACTAAGAACATTCAGTTTGGGTTATTTAGTAAGGTGTAAGCTTTGAGTTGGACCACCCCTTCTCCCTGAGAAAGCTGAGGCAAATTTGGGAAAGGTTACGAAAGGTTACAAATGGCGCCCTGCAACGTGGGGCCTTGAGTAGTAAAAAGGAAGCTTATACCTGGTTTAATATTATCTGGTTTACTCTTATATGAACTTTAGTTATTCCCTCTTAAATTTGGTGGCAACAATCAACATGTCTGCGCACAACATGAGAAAAGTAGAGGTTGCGTATGAATTGAAAATTCGGGGACTTTCAGCCGATGGTTCTGCTGGGGATCTGCGTAAAAGACTGTCAAAGGCAATGGCTAACAATGTACCTGTGGATGATGCTATAGTCAATTCCTTGGACCCAGATGAAGAACTTCAATGTTGCAAAGATATATTCGAAGATGTACATAGTCTTGTTTCTGAATATGAGGGTGACTTCAATGACACTGAGTACCAACGTATTTCCACCAGGCTTTGGCACTTGTATCCACGCATTGGGCGTATACCAATAGTTACAACTGACTCTGCAGATTCAAAAGAAGATACTAGGGGAAAATTGCTGGAAGAGACTAAGAAATTAATGGATTCTTTTCTTGTAGATCCCAAGTCCAAACAAATTTCAAACCTTGATAAGGTATCGAAAGAGAATCTAGCGGGATCTTCGTCCAAACCACAAGCTGTTCCTGCCCCATTGACTTTGTCAGACGGCACAATTGGAGATGTAGATGGCAACAAATCTTCATTACCGAAACATAACTTGGTTGAATCACGAAGCTACCAGAGAGTTGAGTCACTTAGCCCATTTGTGTCTAAATCCGTTCCCGTGTACAAGTGGGGTTTGAAATTCGATAACCAAGCCAAACAAACTGTTGGAGCATTCCTAGAGCGTGTGGAAGAGCTTTCTAGAGCTAGAGGTGTCACTCATAAGGAATTATTTGAGTCGGCCGTGGATCTCTTTTCAGGTCAAGCTCTCATTTGGTATAGGTCAGTTCAGTCTAGAGTCAACTCTTGGGAAGAATTGAAGCGGGAGATGAAGATTGTCTTCCAGGCACCTGATTACAATTTCCGGCTAATGCAAGAGATCTTTAGTCGTACTCAAGGAGAAAATGAAAGCATTGATCTTTATATTGCAGCGATGGAAGGTTTATATAGTAGACTGTCTGAGAAGGTGCCAGAGGCCACTAGATTAGCACAGATTTATCACAATCTGCACCCTCAGCTCCATGATAGACTGGCGTTATGTGACATCCAAACATTAGAAGACCTACGGTGCATGGGAAGGAAGGTGGAAGCTAGCCGACTTCGAGCATCAGTACCAAGACAGCATCCAAGAAGTGCAGTGACCTTAGAGCCTGATTTGGCTTATGAAGAAGGAACCCATCGTAGAGGACCTTGTTCATCAGGGAAAGTTTTTAGTTTAAACCAACAATCCTTACAGAGAACGGGAAGACCTCAAGACAGACCATGTTGGAATTGTGGAGAGTCAGGACATATGTTTAGGTTTTGTAAGGAGCCTATGAAGAGATTTTGTTATGGCTGTGGCAATCCTGACAAGACCAAGAGAGATTGTAACAAATGTAGCCCTCCAAAAAACTTGTAAACTTGGGAGCCAGCACTAATGTTCAGGTTGACTCCCAATATTCTCAACCAGCTATAAAACTTAGCTACTTGTTCCAGTCTGACAAAAATGACAATCGGCTATATCTTGATGTTAGAGTTTTTGGCAGGAAAATGAGAGCTCTTCTGGATTCAGGAGCTACTCATACAGTCTTAGGTAAAGATGGCCTTTGGGTGATGGATAAATTTCCAGCCAAACTGAGAACGACACCAACCCGATTTGTTGAGCTCGCTGATGGAAAACAAAAACATTTGGTAAGCGGATATATACAGTTGCCAATTACCCTGGAAGGTCGGACAAGAAGCTTGCCCGTAATAGTTGTTCCGAGTCTCCAACAATCGCTTATTCTAGGCATTGATTTCTGGAATAAAATGCAAATCATTCCTTATGTTCATACTAAGACATGGGAGTTTGCACCTGATGTGAGAATTAGTGAGATGAACACTCTTCCTGAACCAGAGGGAATTCTTTCAGAGGATCATCTTAGTGAAACACAGAAGGCTGAACTACAAAAATTTCTTTCTGACCAGTTTAAAGAAGAAGGCGATCAGAAGACCCTGGGACGAACTACATTAGTGGAGCATGTCATTGATACCGGAGATACCCAACCGATCAAACAGAGATACTACCCCA